TAGGGCTAACACGACAAGGCGTGACTTGCGCGAGTGCGATATAAAGCCGGAGATACTGCTATTCCCGCATACCTAGAGATCTCGCGCTTTATGTCATTCTTGCGCTAGTCGCTACCTGTTGTGTTAATCCTACTGAGATGAGGTTGGGCAGGGGTTGGTTTGCGTTCCATTAATATAAAAGTAGCATTAATTAGAACAAGTTTTTGCATGTAAACTCATAAAAAAGGTTAGTACTTCGGAGAAAATTTAATTATCTCGTACATTTTTTTACATGGTGTTACTAGAATTATACTTTAAAATCCAACTTCTACTTTCTAGTAGCTTTATCTTATGATGCTGTAAAATTATTCCCGGAAATTCGGAATTCGAAAAAGTAATTAATTAGTATTTGATGGTTTTAACCATTCCACGTCACACTTTTTGTAGCTATATGTAGGCATTTAACTATTCATTTAGAACACCCTATTCTGACTACTGATGATTATTTAAAACTTTATTTAATAAAAACATTCGTTTATTGTTAAAAGAACTTAAAACCAGTTTACAAAGTAGAGCCTATTCCATGCACAATTGCTTCTTTACATTGTTCCTTCCAAAAAACGTTTGAATAGCTGAGAGGACAATTGTTTCCTCGGTTACATCTTTTAAGTACATATATTTGACTTTTAAGCGGATCCGTGAAGCTATTAACAACTTGAGGAAAACAGTGATTAACATTAGTTAGGAGACTAATTTTTGAATCGGTCGCTACTAATGAACGAACGACGTAAAACAGTATGATAAATACTCGTTTAACAACCACATAATCACTTATCGTCAGGTGATACTATTCTACGGCTGCTAACGGATTGACTGCAAGTTTGCAGTGTAATCACCTTTTTGTTGTTGATCTCGGCTGCATGAAGTCGGTTTCTGCTGCACGCAGTTAAGGCATTATCCGAGACTTCGACTGCACGAAGTTGATAACGATTTCACGCAATAACTTCATGCCGCCGAATGAAATATTGTTTATTGCACTATAAAATTACAATGCCAACATAGCACAGTAATGTAAGTATCAGAGTAAGCTTTTTTTTATAGGTAACATCAAGTGACAGGACGAAAATGTCGTGCGCCTGATTGTAAGTTGCACGCCTGTTCGTAACAGTTACTTTGCCACTCAGAGCTTTAAATCGCAAAGATCTGGGGAGCAGTGCGCCCGTCGCCTTATAAGTTGACAAGTGCCATGTGCCTGTAATTTCACCAGCACTGACAGTACTGCTTGACGGCAGAAATAGGTAAAGTGGCAGTACTTCCCTGGATGAACACAAGGAGCTCTACTGCTACTAATTTAACTAATTTAAATTTGAACAAGAGTGACCCTAATTCAGAATTGCACAGCATTTTTTTTTCTATTTCATAATTCCATATACTAGATACCATAGGCGATGCAGGTATACAAATATCAATATACAGCATTGATATACAGGCTTATTTATTTGGTATACTCTACAAATCCCCACTAAAAATCTCCACTGGTGGGGATCCTAAACTTTGATTTAATTTTTACTATTATCTACTAATTTCTTCCAAAAAGTGTAAAAGCTTCGATATCTTGTCAATGTCTGCGTAGCAGTTCCGGTTTTGAAGGGTAAGGGTGCTGGTGAAATTACAGGCGCATGGGACTTGTCTACTTATGTCTCAGGGCGACGGGCGTAGTGACAGTGCCCCTCAAATCCTTGCGATTTAAAGCTCTGAGTGGCATTGCAACTGTTATGGACAGACGTGTAGTTTACCATCAGGCGTACGACTTGTTCGTCCCGTCTCTTGACAGGGCCACAGCTACCGAAATATATTTTCATATAAGTCAATTAATTAAAATCACTTCATTTGAGAGTAATTTTTACTAACAAGCGATTCCAAAATAACACAGATACCCATTAGATAACCTTTGCACAGAATTCACATGATAACAATACGGAGAAGTGAAACATTAAGTTCCCTGCCATACCAATTGTGCCGTTAACTCGACATGGCTGACTCAAACTTACAATTTTTATTATTAATATGTTGTCTAAATAACGTATTGTCTAAGTTAAGTTCGCAACAAAAGGATTGGACATATACAACTAAAGCATTTACATTTTACGGTGAAGAGTGCGTGAGTGATTGTGAGTACAGTCAATGTATTGTCAATTTTGAAGGAGAAATGAGGGCGTGTTACACAACTGATAAAGTGCCCTTCGTCTTCTATACAAGTCAAGCCAGTGATCCTAATAGTACTGAATGTATGAGTAATTGTAAAAAAACAGGAAAAGGATTACAATTGTGTGTAACAAAAAATGGTGTCATCGAATATTGCAACTCCTCACCAGTATCCCCAACAGAAAGAAGTTCGAGAGACCAAATGTGTATTACACCTTGTAAATATAATGTTTTACTAAAATACTACGCCTGCTACACGGGATCGTTTCATGATTATTGCGCTCCACCAGCTTCAGAAAGACCTCAACCTGATAATTCAAAAACTTCTGCAATGGAAAAACCCCAAAATTGCCCACAAATTGTAGAAAAACCTGTAACACAAACGTGCCCACTTTCAACAGAGCAGCCAAATCAAAAGCAATGCAATTGTGATTGTAAGAATAATGCAGAGTATAACAAGAAAGACATTTACTTCAAGATTGAAGCGAATATACCTCATGAAATTGTTGACAAAGTGGAAGGTAACCAATATCACTTTACAATAAATTTTCATAGTAAAACATCTGAAAAGGAGGAGGGTAATAGCGACAGCACTACTGAAAAACCTACAGGGCCAGGACGTGAAGACAACAATGAGCATACAGATCAAACAACTGATTCTCAAGATCATTCACCATACACAAAACCTAATGAAACTGTCTCTGAACATCCTACCACCAACAATGAAGATAACAACCAGAGCGATGAAATAGGGGAAGACATGATTAGGTCAAATTTTGGTCAAGACAGAGAGAATAAACAGGGCTGATCTGGCTTGATTGTAATTACATGTGTGCGTTACTTTTGCTTATCAACGTGTTAAATTAATTCCATATTATATCTTAGACTTATTCCCTGAACAGAGAGAACAGACAACTTCATTGTCACTTTCCATCAGGTAAGATGCGCACTTGTTTTTTATTAAAAAAAATCTATTTATTTTCATTTCAATGTATTGTTATGTTCAATATTCATGATGCTGCAAATAGTGAAGCAATGATAACATCTATACAATTGTAAAAATCGTAGTAAATAGCTCAAATAAATACAGTTATTAATATGTCCTATTGTTTTTTTTGTTTGACGCGTCTGTGTTTCTACAGACGAACCTCTTCCTATTATGTAGTGCGTGGGTGCGAGCTCGTGGGAGGTGATCGGTAAAATCACAGACCATCAGGGGGCCACAACCTCTTATAACAATATTACTTTAACCTTACCTTGATTTTTCGTATCATAATGCGCTTAAAGTAAGGTTATTGTAATGTTAAAACTATGATGTTTTATTGGCAGCTTTGTGACTATTCATTCACTCAGTTCGTACTATGACGCGACTTTAACATTAAAGTAATATTGCTCTTATGTCAAATTTAGCAATCTTATAATAGTTACACGGATGCAATGGAAACAATATTATTTTCAGTTTTATTGTCTTAATATTGATTTGTAACGATTAAAAGTTAAGTTGAACTTATTTATTTACACATATCTCTTCAATATTTTGTTTATTTTTTTATTTAATAACACATAGTAAATAATTTTTCGTTAAATAAAAATACGTGGTGTTCATTTCGTAAAATTATAACTGCGCCATCTATATGCTCTTTGGCGAAACTAACAGTCGACACTAGACTATAGTTCCGAACTCACAACGTGACTATCGAGACTCAGCTTGTTTTATTTATTTATTTTTTTCATGAAAATGCGGAATAATTATTGAAAACAACGTAATATTAATAGATTTTATTATTACATACTTTTCTTTTCTTAACAGTCAAAATTCTCTGAATGTAAATAACATTAAGTACTTAAACATTATACCTCGATAAGACAATTCGGAACATCTAAAAAGAAAGAGATGGCATTATATAGTACACATACCGTTATCTCTTTCCAATTTTTAGTAAGGAATAGACAATATTGGGAAATCATTCGTTCTTTCAATCACTTTTGCAATAATACATTAATTGGATAACAGGTTCGTCATGGTATGAATATGAGTAATATTACAATAAGCTTACTTTAAGCTTACATTGAAATAAGATTGTTTTTAGAAAGGTTATGGTAGGCCCCCGAGGTAGCCTTAACACGTACATTGGGAGACATAATTAATGTGCATTTTGCGCGCGTGTATTTTTGTGTTTCATTTTCTAAGCTACGTATGCAACATCACAGATTACTTAATATGGCAACATCAAAATCGTACTAATAACAATAAGATTCGCTCTGGACCTTTTGGAGGGAAAAGTTTCGTTTTTATTTTGACTTTCAATTATTTTGTGAAATCTAGTTTAAAGTGGAATATGATAGTGCTATTGTGCCTTAATAGCAGATTAAAACGCGAAATTATACGAATCTCGAACTAGGCCACCCGTAGCGGCCCGTTTTAAGGAATCCCGAGTCAATCCAAGCACGCCGCCTCAAATTGCCTATCCTCTTTGTGGCGGCCATATTTACAGAAACATAAACTTCATGTTTAGGCTGATGGCTTTGCCAAAGCCTTAATAAATTTAAAAAAAAACTAATAACAATAATATTTATTTGGTTTGAATGCAGCCGGATCGAAGGAATTTTTGTAAGCATTCGATCTTTAATAATTATAACAAACCAGTGGAGTAATTTCACAAAAAAATTGAATATCATGATGGTGAAAAATCCTGACATTTAATAAACTAAATTATAATAATATTTATTGCCAGAAAATTGTTCCATTATTACTATGTTTGTATGTATACTGACTTCTGCAGGACAGTTCGTTACTATGAATCTCAAACAATACAATCTATTCTCATAATTTGAAATTAAGCAACAATAACAGTAGTAAGTCATAGTGTACATATACCTAATGTGCGTGTGTGTGCGTGAGTGCGTGCCTGCGTATGTTTTTGTTTAAATTTAAAGTAGAAGGGAAACGAGCAGACGAGCTACTTGATGGGAGGTGGTCATCGTCGCCCATGGACATCTGCAACATCAGACGCACATCCTATGCGTTGTTAGAATCTGAGAGCCTTGGTGACACGCTTTTTGAACAACCCCATCTCATAGAAAATACTTTCGAAGGAAGATTATTCCATAGCTTGCAGGTTCGAGGAAGGAACGAATGTAATGCCCGCGTAGTCTTACAATGCCAGGCATCTATTATGTGGTGATGGGCTTTACTCCTTTGGCGGGAGATGGGATGGTGGAAACGAGACGGTGGTACCAGTTCGAAAAGTTTCTCAGAGCACCCCTTTATAAAGACGGTAGAACACACACAGAGAGCCAACGTCTCTCCGTGAACTAAGGGACTCCAAACCGCCTGTAAGTTTGGGATTATCGAGAACACGAACCCTGCGTTGAATGGAGTCAAGTTGATCAAGCTGGTATTTGGAAGCTCCTGGTCAATATTCCATATGAGGCCGTGTTTAAGCGAAAACAGATCATTTTAGGAAAAAAATAAACGTTCTCATTTATAAAAATATGAACTTTATAGAAGGCCAAATACGCACTAAAATATAATATTTATTCAATTTATTTGTTTCACATAAATATTTTTTTTTTGCATTTTACGGTCAAGATCGCACGCAGTGACGTCAATTTAGCAAGGAAGGTTCATTTTTAAGACAACTCAGTTTTGTACCGACTTTAAAAAAGGAGGAGGTTCTCAATTCTGTTTTTTTTTGTGTTTGTTACGCGATAACTCGATTGTGAACCGGTCTTGATGATTCTTTTTTGTTGGAAAGAAGATACATCAGAAATCGTCCCATTTAAATTTGAAAAAATATTTCACCATAGAGGTGTGGCAAAGTAGGGGATGAATGACCTTTGAGGTCGGTTTTTTTAGAACTCTGTACTGAGATTATTATTTCATCACCAACAACCTAATAAACGTGAGCTTATTAGCTCTAATTAAAAATACTATTATTAATATGACGTTGGTACTTACCGTTCTCTTAATACAGGATCTAAACCAACAGTAGGTTCATCCAAAATCAGCAACTCAGGTTCATGAACCAGCGCAGCAGCAAGGGAAACTCGTCTCTGCTGTCCTCCTGATAAGGACTTGACGAATCGTCCCCCGTCAGGCAACTCTAATAGGGAGCTTAGGAAGTCGAATCTTTCGCTGAGGCGAGACAATTTCATTCCATATATTCTACCGAAGTAGTATATTGCGTCACGTACTGTGAATTCACCGACGAGGGCTATGTCCTGTAGGCAATACAGTCTACATTAAAAATAAAGTACTGTAAAATCGAGTGTTTTACCCTTTTATTATTCTTCCTCTTTAGTTATATTAAACCGACTTCAAAAAAGGAGGGTGTTTTTAATTTGACGTCTTTGAAGTCTTTCACTTGCGTGTTTCGCTTGCTTGCGTCGTCTGGGTACACGGCGTAGAAATCTGTCTTCCGCGCAAAGGCGTTCATGAGTCTTCCGCTTTGCTTTGCGGAGAGACTTGCGCGCATGCGCGGCGCCTTATCTTTGGTTGTAGACACTGCTGCTCTGTTATTGGCCTGTGGTGCTGTCCTCTACAAATGTTCCCTGTTGCTTGCGTGGAAATATTATGCTTGCTACATAACTCACGCACCGCAAAGAAATCCAATGCAAAGCAAGCGGCCGGCGCAAGCGAGCGAGTCGTGAACGGTCCTGCCTGCGCGTATGCGACAGATCTTTGCGTATGCGCGAAGCGAGTCACGCAAGAAAGCGAAAAATGCAAGTGAAAGAAAAAAAATGAATCGTAATGGCATAAGGCATTAATAAAGGTATTGGCGTATTAATAATGTAGCCGTGGCAGCCCAATACCTGACCTATTGAATTGACCTATCGCCTCTCAAATAGGCTCAGACCTCTGAGTTTCTCGGAATTTATGTGCGAATTTCAATTTGAAGTTTACCATGATCTTTTCAGTGAATGAAAATGTTGTTATGAAACCTGCACGTCAAAGAAGCTTCACATCCTTTGGGAAATGTCTGACGTCTCCAACCCGCATTGGGCCAGTCTGGCGGAATATGATCTAAACCCTCGCCTGAGAGGGGAGACCCGTGCCTAGCACGTATAACTGGGTTGATGATGATGATGGTATCCACGATTACATAAGTCACTGGTTTGATCTAGTTTGAAGGGTAATAATAATAATAATAACGCGCACATACTCATAGCCGTGCACTAGGGAAACACTGTATCGCAGGTGCCATGGACACACACATAGACAACCACAAATTATACCCAAAACACATACAAATATTTCTCCTGACACGGGAATCGAACCCGGGACCTCTGCGTGACAGTCCGCCATGGTAACCGTTCGGCCACGGAGGCAGTTAATTAGGAGTAAAAGTTAGTTAGGAGGGTAAGGGTGCTGGTGAAATTACAGGCACATGGGACTTGTCAACTTATGTCTCAGGGTGACGGGCGCAGTGACAGTGCCCCTAAGATCTTTGCTATTAAAACCTCTAAGTGGCACTACAGACAAGCATGTACCTTACCATCAGGCGCACGACTTGTCCATCCCGTCACATGATATTATATATTAAAAAAAACTGCTATTTCTAAAGCTATTCTAGACGAATGCTCTTACCTGTGGCATATACCCCACTCGTGGCCCAGGGACTCCACTTCCCTTTTCTCCTGGTCTTCCCCCGAGGACCCATATGTTGCCGCTGTTCAGCGTCCGTCTGCCCACTATGCAGGAGAGGAGCGTGGTCTTGCCACAACCTGATGGGCCCAGTAATCCGTAGCTGCAATGAAAAAAAGACATAAGCTAGGAAGAAATTTATTGATCTTTAACGTTGTAATGCAATGAGAGTTCAGAGTGTCAGATTATTATAGTAGTAGTAGCATAGTGCAATGAAGTAAACTGGCGGCAGAAATAGGCAATAGAAAGGTGGCAGTCGGACGAACTCTTTCACAAAAAGCTCTACTTCTATCACACTCATGTGAGTACATGGCATCCGCGACACAGGGTTTCCCTAGTGCAGGACTATGAGTGATTTATTTATTGACCACCTCAGAGGCCCAGCGGTTTATGCTGTGGGCGCTGGATAAGGAGGCCGCGGGTGCGATTTCCGGTAAGACCAAATTTGGAAAATGAACTTTTCCGTATTGATTCTGGTCTGAGTGTTCCGGGGTAGTGCCCCAGAGTCAACTCAGTTGCTCTGGTACTCATAGTACAGGGAATTCCCTAGTTTGAGACCAGGCAAAGGGTGCGTTTATAATATAATTACAATATTATTATCCATGGTAACACAAACTGCCGTTTCAGAAGACTATTCCAGTAATTGAATCTAACCTCAACAGGTTATTCAAATTGTTGTTGTATTATATGTTATTATACGAATAAATGATTATAAATAAATCATCAGAGCGGTGGTAACCCAGTGGAAGAACAGTTGTTTTTCTTCTAAGAGGTTTACGGTTGGAATTTCTGCGGCGGCATGTAACTATGACTTTAATTTCTAAGAACATTTAGAAATGTTTAGTAGCAACATGGACCAATAATTAAAATGGACTGTTAATCGCGATTAGCAACGCTATCTTGTATCGCGTACAAGATAGCGTGGTTCGGTATTTAGTACCTAATTGCTACACTAGATGTCGCGGCGGGTACCAAATAGCTATTTTTGTAAGTAATTTCATCAATTGAAAAAAAAAAATCAAAGCTACTCTAAAATTTCTAGTGGTAACAAACAAATCAACTAGATGGCGCTTATTGCACAGAGTTGTATGGGTACTGCTGGCTATTCTTTTATTTTGTTTAGGGTTAGCGATGGTTAGCGCCATCTACCCATATTAGGAAGCGTTAATTTATAAATAAGTTTGTAACACACAATTACCTATTGACTATTGACATGCATATTTCAACTTATCCGAAGAAAAAAGTCCGATGTGATTATATAGCGAAAAGATAATAAGTACGTTACGAGAATAATTTCGTTACTCAAACTAAGGCCTATTGAAAAGGTGTTTTGAGAATTAATATATTTTATTTCGTTTCGGAAATATAAAATCCAACAATGGTCGATCGATCTGACTACCACAGCGAAAAAGAACGAACGAAAATTAAATGTACCATATCCTGAGAACAATTAGTCTTGCACATAGATTTTTGTTCTACGGATGAGTCGATTTGTCAGAGTTCAGAAAATAATTATAGCTCATGATATGACAAGGAAAAAAAACGAAGTTCTTATATTTCATATTAAAGAGGAATAATTGATATCCAGGACCATTTAAACTACTTTTTGGCTATTGATCAACGCCATTTAAGGTAAGACGGAATTTTGACCTTTTTCAGAGTTACGATCTATAGTATGAAGATTATCAGATCTATTGAGTTATTGATCCATAGTAGCAATAAATCTCGTTAAACGTCGTGATTAAACCTGCTTTTCGAAGAAGATTCAATACCCTTGAAAATCGAGTTAAGTCCCCAACCTGGGGGTCTACTCTAGATCTCCGTCCGACATCCGTCCGAAACAATTACTGTCAAATAAGTAATATTCGACAAAATTAAAAGACAAGTATCAAGTATGAAGCTTCATTCGCATCACGCGTCTTTTCATTTGGTCAAGTATTGCTTATTTGGCAGTAATTGTTTCGGACGGATGTCGGACGGAGATCTAGAGTAAACCCCCTGTATCGAATCGGCCTTTGGGCCTTAGAGAAGACCCGTGCAAAGGGTGATGATGAAGAAATCTGTCGTCCGTTAACTAAAATGCGGCAAAGTGACAAAGTATTTTTAAAGATATCATAAAAAATCATAACCCAGTTTTAGAATATTTAAATTGTTTCATGATATTTCAGCATTGTTAGGGTAGGTTCCGACAAGTCGACCACGTTAACTAATTTTAACTGTTTTCAAAAGAGAATTTTGTGCTTTATTTTTTTCTGATTAAAACGGATATTTGACCATTTGTCACTTAACCGCATCTTAGTTAGTGGACGGCAGAAATATATTACTTACATAATCCCACTATCCACAGTCATGTCTAGATTTTCAAGCACAGGTTTGTAATCAGGTTTGTTTTTTCTGCCATAGTGTTTGCAGGCTCCTTCTACCACCACTGCCGCGGGGCGCCCCGCCATGGTTGGAAGTTATGCGCCTTACTGACAGGACATAGTTCTGAGGGTAGAAGAAAGAAATAGGTAAGTATTTGTTGAAGATATTACAAGTGGTATTGAAATATTTGGAGAGTAGTAAATAAATAAATAACATATACACTCATAGCCCCGTACTAGGGAAACCATGTATCACGGGTGCCATGGACACACACATAGATAGACAACCATAAATTACACACAAACTCAGGAGAGAAATAAATGTAGGCCATACAAATATTTCTCCCGGCCCGGGAATCGCACCCGGGACCTCAGTGCGGCAGTCCATCATGGTCACCATTTGGCTACTTAGTCAGGCCAAGGAGGCAGGAGAGTGCTGGCTAAGTTAACATTGCATTAAAACCTTGGAATGGCAGGCGTGCGATAAAAAAGCCCTAGCCTGAGTATACCTGGCAGCGCACTATAGAGAGCGATTTCAAGGCTATCCTAATACGCTCTATAGCACAGCAAAGTGGGTTTTTTCGATACATTTCAATAACGGGAGTTGGTAAGACTAAGTTTGTATTTCGTCCGTCACTTTTAATCGTGTGTGACCGAAATAAGCATCTGTATGCATAGAATCAGCAGTGCTCTGAATCGAGTGTTTAATATCGCCGTCACAGACGCCTATAATGAATGCACGGGTGACCTGTGCGGAGTTCACGTGGAGCATGTTCTGTACGGAGCAATCCGCATCACTGTAGAACGATGTTTTAAAGCCACACGTGTTACTCCGTTCCGGCGCTTCGCGCGGACGGTTCGCAGATAAATCCGCACTGCTCCGAAACCAGCCTGAAAGCGTTTGCGCCTTCAGCCGATTCGTATTAGTTCCGAAGTGGGTCCGAGTTTTCTAAACTTGTATAGTCTCGGATTAGGAATGAATACGAATTGGATGCGGTGCGTAAACGCTCTTATTAGTCTCACTAACTCCCCGTATCGAAATCATCTACGTTATAAAGCAGTAAAAATCTACAACAAATTATATACCACTCTAAAAACAATACAAAAAAACCCACATTTTGTAATAAACTCAAATTATTACTGAATCAAAAAGCTATTAAATTTGAAGATAACTGTGTTAAGGTAATATTAATATTAATTTACTTCACTGAAGCCGAGTACCCACTAGCGAGCTGTAACTGTAACCGTTGCCTGTTATGTAACAAAAAATCATAGTGTGTACGTGTTTTGCGAGCTTGCAGCGAGCGGTACGTGCGCGGTTCGCAGTGAGCCGTCTAGTTGAAGCCTGCTTCAAGCGTGCATACTAGAACTCGTTACTGTATCTGCACGTTACAGTTCGCTAATGAGTGCCCGGCTTTATATGTAACTATTTACTTGCAATCAAATTTTTAATTTAAGCTCATAAGAATTATCCTTTGTTTTGCCTTTACTGGGTGCATGTAACATTTTAAATGTATACGTGTCTACCAATGCAAATGAATAAATAAATAAAGAAGACTGCGTAAGACAGGGTGAACTGGCGACATCTCGTGAAAATTTTATGTACTACAAACGAATGATGGAACGATAACAGATCATTTAGTGACATTTGAATAGTGATAAAAAAATACAATGTACCCATAATCATATAGTACCTTTGGTGAAATAAGGTTACGTCAGCAAAGTGACAAGTTTTCAGAAGAGAGGTAAAGTTTAACAATTCTATGTACGAAATTAGTAGTTAATTATTTTATGCTTAAATAGGAGACAGTCCCATATCTTTCTACATAAGTTTTGCCAAGTACCAGTGTGCTGCGATAATGTCCGGATATATCTACCGACTTAAAGGGCAACTCACGTACCCCGTGTGCCTATACGCCTCAGGCCCTCAACTAGCGTGTTCGTTTCCTGCAGCGAACCATAAACCCCGGCGAGTTCATACCCAAGTCCGTGTCTGCCAGAGACGCCCGTGAAGGCGTATGACTGGTGGAGGGCTTGGCTCGGACGCCCGCCGTACCCTGATCTTGCCGTCGAGCCCGTAGTCTCTCCGGAAAACCCTATCTCTCGGGTCAGTAGATACGGACGCTTAAATAGGAGTCATAAAATTTCATATATCGTCGGGGATGAGGCAATTACGCGCCATTGGATTGGATTATGAGTTTCCAGTTCAGTAATTTAGTGATCAAACCAAATCCGCGTAAATATCGTGGCAACCAAATTAGCGTGATTTACGGGAATCTATTGTTATCAGTCCGTAGACAACATAAATACTGTGCAAAAGTGTATTTGAAATCATATATAAAAATAATGAAAAACAGCGGACCGAGATGAGACCCTTGAGGACTTAAAATCTTTGAGAGCGACAAGTTGACTTCTATTACTAAAGTAGTCATAGTTTCGTTTGTACTCGTGTAAGACGCAGATTACAATGCGAAAGGAAGTCGATTGAATAGTGAGGCAAATCAACAATTAACAACGTAATGGTAGTTGCATGCATCGGTTGGCACATTCTTAATTATCATAGATGATGGTATAAAAGGTTCTAAATTAGATGGTTTGAGTAATTGTTACACCTACAGTAAAATAATTACATTTTTTATAAAAAAAGGCCTGAAAAGTTTGCTTTCCGCTTGCGTTGTGTTCGTTATGTCTATTTGCCAAATTTTATTGAAATCGGTTAATGGAAAGTGGGTGAAATATACTACAATAAACCGGTTTCATCCCCTAATTTTCCACCCTTAGAGGAGAAATATTTTCATCCAATTTGAATGGGATTAATACAGAGACCTTTACCTTTCCAACAAAAAAAGAATCATCGAAATCTTTTCTCGAAATAGGTTAATAAAGATTGATTTATAGGCGGAATGTTTTATGTTTGAATTGATGCAAATTATAATATAAAATATAAACGATTTAGCAATAGCGTGACACAAAAATCAACAACGATAAAACTTTGATTTTTTTTTTTTTTTTTTTTTAAGTAAGTAAGTAAATTATTTATTTCCTCTACAAAATTCTGCACTAAACTTAACTTACATTGAGTGAACACAATAATTAAATACAGAAGACAATTCGTAGAGGCTGGAGCCTAAACTAGGATTCCCTGTGATTTAGGTCACCAGGCCTCCACCTCCAGAAAAAAAAAAAATGATTAAATGCTTAAAATGAATAAATTTATACAAAGGTTTTAGAAAGAGAAAAAAAAAAGAGAAAAATTATAATAATAACATACTCTAAAAACAACACTTTTTAGCCAAAAACGTATTGACAATTCAGTATATAAAAGTAAGTAGCTGGATGTGATTGTAATATGTGTGAGTGTGAGTGAGCGAGCGAGTGTGTGTGTGTGTGTGTGAGTTTGCGTGTGTGTGTGAGTGCGCGTGTGTGTGTTTGCGTGTGTGTGTGTATGTATGCATGAGCGTGTGTGCATGCGCATGTAAAACTTTAGTAATTGCACAAATGAATGAGGGAGTGAACAGTTTGGAGAATTAACAGTTAGAACTGTTTTTAGAATAGAATTATACAACTATAGCGATCAATTGCTCAGTATCCTCATAATTATGTTTCAATAGCCAGTCAACTACGGTCCTTTTGCAACTGTACGTGTTTAACGAATATATTTTATTTACTGAGTTGCATTTGTTGTAAAGGTTTGAACCAAGAAAATCGAAAAATCTTTGGGCAAAAGTAGTTTTACATAGCTTACTGGGACAAACTAGGTCAAATCTTCTTATTTTCTGGGAGAAGGTTGGATCAAACGTCAAAAGGGAGTGTTTTTTCAGAATGGTATTCGCGATATATAACTGGCGAACTGTTAGTACTTTGCATTCATTGTAAAGTTTTACCAACCATATACAGCCGGTGCGGGATTTTTTAAAATAATTCCTGACGCCATATCCCTATTTTTTATATATTTTATTTTTTCTCCAAAGCTAACAAATACTAAAATTTGGATGGTGAGAAAAAGGCTCTATATCTACATAGAAGTCACTACACCTGTACAAGGAGTCACTACGTCTGTATAGTGACTTTTTCACAGTACATTATATATAACAATACTCTCGTAACTCTCGTAGAGAGGCGAAATACGTGTAGGGTAGGGTATGTTTTTGGTGTTGGTGTTTGTGACTGTGGTACTTGCGCTTCTGTTTTTTATTTTATAAATTTGATGGGCAATACATTGCCCATAAAATTCAGTTAATTTTCCCACCTACAGGCGGGATAATGAACAGAATGGAAAAAATACTAGAAACAAGGAAGCTTGGCTCTAAGGCTCACGGAGTAGTAAATTACTATCTAATATTTCACATTGTATTTGAAATTGTAATATTCTGACATTCATAATTTAAAATAAATTACTTTATTATATAGTACTTACGATATCTTATAATACGATACGGGATGCGGGAGCAACTCTAGTACTAGATTATAATTATGCATTTAGTTATTATTGAGTGTTGTCAAGAACAAAGCATTGTTTTTATAACAAATACGTAAAACTAATATAATTATTAATAATTCTCTTCATTCTCACGGTCGAAACTTTAATTATATCAGAATAGTTTCAGGCAAGTTTTAATGTTGTTTTATTCAAATAAAAACACAACTGAGCGACTAAATATAATCTGGAATCCTGTTAACGTTATGAATAATTTTTTGTCTTGTATGATATTCAAATTATTGGTTAGTCAGGGCTGAATAAGTCTGGGTTTGAGGTTATAAACGTGATGCAAAATTGCAAAAGCACCTTTTTTTTTTTTTTTGAGCACCTAGTAGGTTGACGTTTTTGGGCACTTTTTTCTGTGCCTTAAAATAATTACAGTACAAAAAAGGTTCTGGCATGATAATTAAGTAAGTGTTCACAATTATAAAAATATTCGTTCCAAATTCCAGTTTGACGTAAAACCCGTCTATAATAAAATTACTCTTGCAAAAATTGTGGGATTGTTGAAAGTTGAATAGTAACATTACTTTTAGATAATTTTTGATGAGTTATCATTTTTATAATATCAAGGTGACGGGACGAATAAGTCGTGCACTTGATGGTAAGCTACACGCCTGTTCATAACAGTTGCAGTGCCACTC